GTATATAGTGATCATATACTGTCAAACAATCACTATAAACGGATATACAGTCACCATTCACTGGTATACAGTGACCATACACTTGCTCACAGTCACTGTGCATTGGCATAAGTCACTATACTCGTACACTGGCATATAGTGATCATATACTTTTAAACAATCACTATACACGGATATACAGTGATCATTCACTGGTATACAGTGACCATACACTTGCTTACAGTCACTGTGCATTGGCATAAGTCACTATACACTGGCATATAGTGATCATATACTGTCAAACAATCACTATACACGGATATACAGTCACCATTCACTGGTTTACAGCGACCATACACTGACATTCAGTCACAAAACACTAACATACAGTCACCATACACTGGCATACAGTCACAATACACTGTTATCAGCCACCAAACAGTGATATACATTTACCATACGCTGACAAATTGACCATACCTTGCTATGTAGTTACCTCTTTATTGACATGGAATCTCTACACAGCATTTTAAAAATCTACAATATTACAATAGACAAATATTCAAACGTAATTATGTACCATTTCTATCTCTTTACAATAACAATCCATCCCATAGATGTCAGAAGATAACAGAATAGTCGATTTAATTCTTCACTTAAGTAACATAAACGGAACGGGTTAAAAGTGCAGATCTTAACTGTTTTTGAAGTCCCGTTTACGTAACTTAAGTGAGGAATTAAATCAACGATTCTGTTTTCTTCTGATCTATTTGTTTGCAAATATGTACATCTTCTTAAATGATACTGATATACGTTTGTGATAAAAATGTCATGGGGATTCTGCCTACAACTTGTGAAATAAGGAAAAAAGAAAAATCGTACCTTCGACGTTCCGACATTTTGTTACTAATGCTAATGCTGGTATATGTTCCTTATATTACATTTGGTTAGACACGACAACTTAACTATATGTAATTAATACTACATGTACTTCCTCATATCTATCATGACATCATTCAAGAATTCAAATTTCCTCTTAAACATTAAACTGATCTAAAATTATGTTAGAAAACATTGAACATTCTACCGATAAAGATGCTTTTCGGAGTTTGCTTTATCATATGTCTGTGCACGTCAGGAACATTGTTGGAGAGAAGCAACAAGGAAATATTCAGAGAACAAGATACTACCATTGAAACAAACATAAAGCAATATGATTTAATGGAAGAAAATTTGGAATTCAAAAAGAGAAAAGTGACTTGGTTTGGACACGAAAATCATGATGAAAAATTCATCAAAGAAACATTGAAAGATGAATCAATAACCGGGGGACTTGAAATATTACAAACATATGAAATGGGAGAAACTTATAGAGATGATGTTAAAGAACAACTGAAAAACAACAACTGTGATTTTTGTAAATGTCATCAAGCATGGACCAACGATATATTTTGCGATTGCCATCAAAACATTTCAAACAAAACAAGTACAAATTTTACTGAACTTGTTTCCTGCCTTCCATATTTCACATTTCAACTCAAAATTTCTGGATTTAATTTTGGTATCATACAAAATTGATCATTTAGTTAGTTAGTTAGTTATATATTTATTAGAGTCTCACGCTGAATTTTTTACAATCATATAAAATCAATAAATAATTAAAACAGCAGCCCAGCCGGCATCGGCTTATGAGAGACTTAAAACTTGTAATTACTAAAATAATTCTCTTCTTTTCCTTATCATGTGTCCAATGGTTTTAGCAAGTAATCGTTGTAAAGAAGTGGTAGTTAGTATTACACAATATTTAACAAGTGTTGGTAGTGAATCAAAATCGTGTACAGACTGTTTTGCTTTTTCAAAGAGTGTTGTTCTCAAATCAGTATAAAAGTCACAGTCTATAAGAAAGTGCATCTCGTCTTCGACAGCATTTCTATTACAACAAGTACACAGTCGCTCATTAAGGGGGATACCGCTATACCGTCCGAGTTCAACGTTAATGGGAAGAGTGCCTGTTCTTAACTTGGCTAGATTGCTCCGTTCATGTTTATGCATAGGAATTCTAACATTTTCCTCCGCCGTTACCATTTGTGTTTTATGTAATCGGTAAGTCCTGAGTTTATTACCGTTTTCAGGATTATGACGGTCGTTCCCAAGTGCGGCATGCCATTCGTCGGCTTCGACCTCAATACGATTTAGTAGCTTGCCGGAAGTGAAAATCCTGTTGCTAACAGACTGTAATATTACAATACTGGAACCAGATGCTTTCAAAGGTATAACGAACTTAGTTTGGTTAAGGATTGTGGATATTGGAAAAGATATAGAAGGTACACTCCCCTCCATAAGTTTGGCAACCTTTTTCCCCCATTGAACTAAGTGTTAAAGCCTCTTTACCTTTGAATTGAATTTTTATTTACTTAACCGGCGATGAAATAACTTATAATATTGATGGAAACGTAATTTGACTTTATTTCCAATACCTCCAAATTTTCTCAATTTTTTTTCCTCAATTGCATTAGGTCGAAAATTGATGATAAATTTGATGAATTTTTGAAAATCGTCATTCCCATGTAATCCAGTGGGAAATGGAGGGTTCGGGGCAAATCAGAAATCAGGATATCTTCTCAGTAAAAGATTCGGCAAAAATATTTTTAGATAGAAAATTGAATTGTCTAACTTTTTTGAACACTAAGTGTTTAGTTTATTTGATGAATATTAAAGTTACAGCGCTTCAAAGTCATTTTTGAAAATAAATTTTCGCCTCCTGTGTTATTTCAATGGGAGAGGTTTTTTGAAAAACAATTTTGACTTTAAAGCCCTGTAACTTTGTTCAACCTGAAGAAACATATCAATTTTTTGTTAAATAAAGTTAGCAAATTCAATTGCCTGCCTAACTCGTATTTTTTGCAAGGACTCGGATAGATGGATATTCTGTCACATGACTTGCGGCAAACCTACCATTTCCAATTGGTTAACATGGGAATGTCGATTTTCAAAAATTCATCAAATTTATCATCAATTTTCGACCTATTGTAATTGAGGAAAAAATTGTGAAAATTTGGAGGTATTGGAATTAAAGTCAAATTACGTTTCCATCAAAAGTATAAGTATTTTCATCGCAGGTTAAGTAAATAAAAATTTAAAGGTAAAGAGGCTTTAACACGTAGTTCAATGGGGGAAAAAGGTTGCCAAACTTATGGAGGGGAGTGTATTTCAATCCTGAATTATCATATGCCTCACAATTGTCATACAATACAAGTATTAACTCTTGGGAAAGTAAAACACATTGAAAATGATACATTCTTGGCTGTCCCATTCCTCGAGGAACTTACTTTACAACACAAAGGCATATTGAAGCATTACCAGCTATTCGAGGCATTGCATGAATTGTGCAAACTTACTCTTAATCAGATAAAATTGAAAAGAATCCCCGATGTCATTTTATCATATCTTGTAAGCTTAAAATAACTTTATTTGGAAAACAATGAAATAACAAGTCTCAGATTCAATGGGAACCTTGGTCCACGTAAGAAATTCCATCTTTCCATACAAGGCAATAGTATTAAATCTGTCACAAAAGCTGATATGAGTCAGTTTATTAATATTGCTTGTTTTGAACTAAACCTTGCTGACAATACCATTGAGGAAACAGAACCCAACTTTCTTCAAGAAATCAACCAGATAAAAAGTTTGTCACTTGAGCGAAATATGAAGTTTTGTAAAACGAATTTGATGCACTTACTGGAAGGCCTAAAGGGAAAGTCTATATTTAGACTGAAAATGACAGGGTGTGGTATTGTCATTGATAAATTCAACTCATCTATCCTCGAGCCCCTTAAAAACTCAAATCTTCGAATATTGAGTATTGATGATAACCAAATAAATACATTTGAAGCAGATGCGTTTGAACCAGTTAAATCATTAGAAGCACTTCAGATATCAAACTTCATGCATATTTCCAGTAAAACTTTATCACCATTACAAAACCTCGGAATTCTACACATACATGATATGTCTGTAGTTTATGGACGGTTAGACAAGGCTAATGTCAGTTTCAGTGAACTGAAGCAATTGAGAGTTCTTTCTCTATACAAATTAGATTTCGATCATCTCATTTTCACTTTTAGCAATGATACTTCATCTATAACTGAATTAAATTTGATCAATCTTGGTGAAACATTTGCGGCATATCACAATCAAGTCTTAAATGTGATCACAAAATCAAGATTAGTTGTCCTCACCCTATCAGGAAATTTATTATTTCGCTATTCAGATACTACTCTGTGTAAACTATTTAACGGAGTCAGGACAAGTTTTATATTTCTTAGGGATAACTATTTCAAAATACTTCCGATTTGTATGTTTCAAAACTTCTCTGCTGATCGAATAGATTTAAGTCAAAATAGAATTACTTATATCCAAGAAGGCTTGTTTAAGAACATAAAAAACAAAATTACACTTTTAAACTTAACTGGGAATGCCATCAGTTTAATTGATGGAACAGCCCTTGCTAAAGTTGCATGGATAAGCATTGAAAACAACTTAATTGAATGTAACTGTGCAACGCAACCCTTTATGAACTGGTTAAAGCGAAGAAAAAATTCATCTGAGACATGGGTCACTCATGATAGGTTTTGTGCTTCCTCCACTGGGCCAACACATGATGAACTGTTGACATTTGAATTAACATGGGTGCAATGCAACATGAACGCCTTTGTTAGAATCACCTCTCTTTCAATTAGCAGTGTAATTCTGGTCGGAGTAATAACTGCTTCACTTTTGAAATATTTCTGGAAAGACATTAAATACATGCAGCTGGTCAGGAGAGCAAAACGGCACAATGGGTACATTCAAATTGGTGATCAAAATGGTATCCAAAATGATATCCTAAATGATGATGTCATCCAAGACAATGAAATATATGATGCTTTTATCAGTTACCATTCTGAGAAACGCATATGGGTACGTGACGTGATGACACCAGAACTGACTAACGGGGATGTTCAATTCTCACTGATACATGATGATAACATCATTCCAGGACAAGAGTCCTACTTTGGTGGATTAATGTCCCACATGGACCGTAGCCGCCACATTATTTTCCTGGTTACACGAGGCTGGATGAAGGAGGGATGGAATGAGTTTGAAATGGACTCTGCTATAGATATGCTCACCCAGACCAAACGCCACACACTCATAGTTATTCTGATGGAACACATACCACAAAAAGATATGTCACACAAACTTAAACTTATGGTAAGACACAATGTCTGCCTAAAGTGGAGTGAAGAAGAAGGAAACCAACGGAAATTTTGGAGGGACCTTAAACTGGAACTCGGAAAAAAGCGATATGAGTGAGGGCAGGCAAAATAGAAGGATATACAATTAGTATGATTGTTTGAAAGCTGAATATCTGACTGAAAGTAGCTTGGTTTAATATAACACAAACACTTCCTTCTGTTGACGGAAAAACGAATGTATCCTTATCAAATAATAATTCCCCAATTCTAGGAGGACAAAGGAGATATCATTCCTGAGCATTGAAGAATTATTTGTTTTATCATCTATTGTAACGCCTTTATTTCTGCTATTTCCTGAATTGAATATAGTAGTAAATCATATACTGTGACCCGGGGTGACCCCTGATGCATTCTGGGAGTTTTTCAGGGGTCCACGCTGATTGGGCAGTTTAAACCACGCGCCTACGCTCTGATTGGTCGAGTTTTGACCACGTGACCGACCTTATTAATCACTGTTGAACTAGGTTAATTAAAATCGATGGTTGACCGCTAAAAAGCCGTTTAACCTTGAAAGCCTGTACCGTCGGTACAGGTTCTGGTAATTTGATACGAAATATTGACAGCCGGTGAAGTAAAATTAATAAAAACGCGTCAGTCGTTGACTGGTAATCGATAATAGGTAAGACCGTGCCCGCCGGTACAGGCTCTGGTAATTTGATACGGAATATTGACAGACGATGAAGTAAAATTAATAAAAACGCGTCAGTCGTTGACTGGTAATCGATAATAGGTAAGACCGTACCCGCCGGTACAGGCTCTGGTAATTTGATACGGAATATTGACAGCCGATGAAGTAAAATTAATAAAAACGCGTCAGTCGTTGACTGGTAATCGATAATAGGTAAGACCGTACCCGCCGGTACAGGCTCGATTGATTTCTTAGACGTTGTGGCACGTGGGGCGTGACTTAAACAATAAGTTCGTCTCGTTAATTATACTGCCTGTAATGAGATCGATTCGATCGTAATTTCTATATAATAGGTAAATGAAAACTCAGTGTCAGTGAACCATTTAAAAAGGGCCAGTGACTATTCTATAACACTGTATACGTATTCTTAAAGCAACCTATGCTTAATAAAGGATCATGTAAATTAACTTTATATTTTGTTTGGCTTATATGGTACATATTATACGAGGTAATAAACAAGTAGATAGGTGTCCAAAAAATGCAAAGTTACAAAACAACCACATTTTTGAAAAAAATTTAAAGAACCACTAGAATTTACTTATAAAAAGCCAAATCATAAGTCTTGACTCATTTCGAGTTTTGTCATGGCGGAGAACGTCCGTGATTATCTTAGTAACCTATATTACGACCCTGCATTTAATGGAAGTTTTACATCACCATCTAAATTCCACAAAAGTATTAAAGAGCTTAGAAATGACATAACATTAAAAATGGTGAAAGATTTCTTGAACGGTGTTGAAGCGTATACCATGTATAAACCCGTCAGGAAAAAATTTAAAAGAAGTCCTGTCGAGACATTAGGAATTCATTATATGATGGAGGCCGATCTGATCGATTTTAGCAAATTGAAAGCATATAACAATGGCTTCAGTTACATATTAATTACAATCGATATTTTCAGCAAATTTGTCCATGCAAAACTTTTAAAAACGAAAACAGCTAAGGAGACATTTAAAGCTCTCAAACACATTTTAGATGATTTAGGGGCAGCTAAACAACCCACCATCTTGCGCCTAGATATGGGCCGAGAATTCGA